TTACGACTGTCACCAGCTGTGACAGCCAAGCATGGTAGTACACTTGGTCCGGTCTAGTAAGGTCATATTAGGCGGTCGCGCAATTTGGCACCACAACTGGCTCTTGCATATTCGCTTGTCACCGGAAATTTAGTACAGAAAGTAGCGCCTCGCGAGACTTACGGACCCTATTGCTGTATAATTCAGTTCATTGTAAGCGTGCCCACTTGCGTAGATCGATGCTCATGCTCTTAATCACTGGATTGTTAGGTCCAGACTCGATTTTATACACAGACCACCGCCCTTCAGCTGGAATATTGCCGAATGCGGCGTAAAACTAAACTCACTCACTCGTTATGAGCGTGTTCGTTACGAACGTACTTAAGTGTGAATTATACCGAGTCTCATATCATGTACGTGTGTAAATAACAAAATAACAGGGTGTCAGGTTGATCTATCACTCCTTGGACCTACATTTAAGGGTATCTTGATATGGGAATGTTGTCACTATGTTAGTGCTGGTATTGGCATACCACAACCGATACGATATATCACGGTACGAAAATGTTAGTCACGACTTTATATTGCCTAGGTATTGTGCACTGAATCTGCGATACAATACGAATCCCGATAGAAGGATGTCGATACGATACGTATTACGATAATAATTCTAACACCAACTGTAAAAACCAAAAACAAATTAATGTTTAAATTAAAAAAACTTTAATTTGAAAAAAAGTCACATTAGGCACGTTTTTTTAAAAAAACAAGCACAACATAAATAAACATTAGCTATACTGTTATAAACAGAAAACATAGATCAAAAACACCTTTAATATCTGCATGTTGCTGGATGCTGTCGCTTCAGTCACATCATAGAATGAAATTTTGCGGTGATTTTATAACAGTATATCTTGACAGACATAGCGGTTCGGCAATGTATCGTGACCAATTTGAAGTATCGTATCGGGAATACGACAATGTGAAACTTTGTATAGATTCACTGTATCGGCGACTCATGCATCGATGCGTATCGATGAATCGTCACACCAATACACTGTACGGTCGCAATGCTGCCGACATAACGTTAAATTGTAACTCACTGATAACTGTAAATATGGCAACGGTGACCCCCCTGGATGCCACAGGGACATATATGTCCTTCCCCTTCAACCCTCAATTTCAAGTCCAATAAAAATCAAAATATCCCACGCACACAAATACACTTCACGGTTTCGAATTCTGCGGGAAATTTCCTCTTTCTTGATACCATCCACTATTATTTTAGACAAAGCTCAAGTGCTGAAAATGACCTTTCAAAATAGGCTTCATCGAAAATATCGCCATTTTTGACACAGTACGAAATCGCGATTACAGCGTTATTTGCTGTATGTTTTGAAATGTGAAAATCGGATAATTACTGGGAGTATTGAATTTAAAAAAAAACATATTAATGAACACTGATATCACTTTTACATGAAATTGCTAATGATAATTCTGAAACGTTGCCGATGAATCTAGAATCGGTTGGGATGTTTTCGAAATACACTTACACGAACGCCGTAGAGCGCTTTCCGCCATATTGGATAGTGTTTACAAAATCACGTTTCGCGAAGGCCGGTATTGAGACGCCTATTACATCACGTATATTTCATATTCAGCTTCGAAAAATGCATCACTGAATTCCCCATACATTTTAGAATCAAATTGCAATTGGTCTTTGTCACCAATACCAACTGTCCAGATAAAATGAGACGAAACATATTGGGTGTGAAAACGAACACTGTGCTCGAAAGCGTGTTCGAACGCTGGTTCGAAATGTAAACAAAGACAAATTCCGATTTTACACTGCGTAGCATTTTCTGAAATTTTCCAACATTCATCCGTCTATTCATTGCTTGCAATGGCTCAATACCTTTGGAATATGCATGGAAAGAGTATCGTAGTAAGAAATAGGAAATTATAAATAGATACAATGCAAATGATTTGATCATTCATAAGAAATTGTCAAAGTTTCCGTGCAGCGTGACGCCATGACTAACGCAAAATCACGCAGAACGACAAGTGTAATTATCTGCATTTGTGGCTTCTTCTCTTACTTACAGTGAAAACGATAAAAACATATAACAATACACAGATAGTCAGAATCATTCTGCTAACTTACATGTCATATTTATGTACACACGATCACTGAATCAATAGAAGGGTCCTCGCAAAATCCTGTGTATCCTTGTCAGCAAAGCCGCCATTTTTCAAGAAATAGGTCATCGGTAGTGATGTCATACGTCAACATTGTTGTACATATTAGGCAATTTCTTTGAGGTGAAGGTCGGTTGAACACGAGTAAACACAACTGCCCAATCCTTCCGATTACACTGTCAGTATTATGATGTATATTTTGCGGATAGTTCAGATACTTTTTCATGAAACTGTCCTCAGTATCTACATTTAGCCTTGTCCAATATCATATCATACGTGCATATGGTTTACGGTGTTTTATTCTTTGAACGTTTTTGATTGTTTGAATAATATTTACATAAGAAATTGACACATTTAGTGCAGTACATTATATTATATTCTAAACCTTTACACAAGTGTTAGAAGATCAAACGTAGCCATAACTGCAATTACTTTAGTTCCTATGATGTACAATATTCAATGCATTTGAACTAATATTGCAGTTTCACATGAACAGGTTAATGAACGGCGATTTGATTAAACCTTATAAGTAAAACTGATAATATTTAATGAAAATGATTTATGTATGTTATGAAATGTATATGCACCCACATTTAAAGGAATTGTCTTGTTCTTTGCACATTTTTGTGTTGTTTTATAGGGAAAACAATGATGTATATTGATTGGCCAGGTGCGCGTTTGTCGGAAACGTTTTATGATTCACTATCATTGTTTTCGATAATATAATCAATTCATATTCGATTTAAAAATATTGTGATGACAGGATATCAAACTCTAACTTTATTTATACGAAAATTGTTTAAAAATATATAAACCATGTCATGTCTTAATTTAGACAAATCTTACATCCATATTCTAATATACTGAGTCAAAAAAGAAACTTCACATTCTTTCTTCAGGGCACTATAAAAGAACAAGAGATGGTAAGATGGTTAAATTGTGATTATTTCATTGCTGAGATCTGTGTGATGTACTCCATACACTGACTGTGCCATAATCAGTTCCATTAGGCTACACCGCCATTCCAAAACATGGGTATACAGAATGTCAAGTCACAAGAATAAAAAAGCGAAACTTCTCAGTTCAATATCGTTTATGGCCGCCCCGCGCATTCACCACTGCCAAACACCGTCTCCTCATCGACTGCCTGATGCTTGTGAACACATGGTTGGGGATTCTGCGCCATTGCTCTTGCAAGGCAGCGCCAAGTTCCTGCAAATTCTGAGGTTGGTCTTTTTCCGACGTCGCAAAATGCACAAAACAAGCAATGACGTCAACTAAAATGTTGTATTATTTTCAGCAATTTCATTACATTTGAAGATATGGCTAGTACTCTGGTAATAATGATGCAAAATTAGTCAAAATACATCTACACAAACAGGAGAATATGGGAATCTAAGAACTAACTTATATATCGGATAGGGCCATCGAAATCGCTATTACGTGCTTTCACATGTGGTACGTCGTCATCTTTTCTTATAAATTGTGAAACTACCAAAGCGTATCCGCTCTTATTGGGGAACTTTGAATTGGAATAGTTTGGTTCATCGTGAACAAAAAATAACGAAAATATAGCGTCCGTATCCACAACAAATTATTACGTGTATGACCTCTCTGTCGTCGTTTGACGTCGTAGAAGAAAATCCATTTTTGACATTTATTGCGAGTCATTTTTAATGTTGACCGCATAATGATATGCATAAGCACATAAATCCAATTCATATGCACTTATGTCGTTCAGATATCAGGCTGTATTTTCTTCGCTCACACTTTCCGTAAAGATGCCAAATTAAAAAAATCGTAGCACAGTGCTTTTATCGGTGCGCGATAAAAAGCAGAGAAATTTACTGTTTTTTAACGCATAACAAACTTTGGACAACAGTTAGCAGTGTCTATTTCTCAAACCGCCAAGGTAGTTGCACTTATATTTATACCAACGGATAGGAAATTTAATATTCTACATTTCTGTGTAATTGTATAGCCTTACGTAGATCCAGGACCACGCGAGTGCAAATCTCGCACAACGTTCACTTTTCAAAGCGTATGAAAATGTGCGCCTGAAAAAAACCTCGGCATCAAGGGGGTTAATACACATATGAAGTCACGAGGTAGTGAGGGGAGGGGAGGTGGCCGAGTGATTAAAGCGTTCGCTTGTCACGCCGAAGACCCGGGTTCGATTCCCCACATGGGTACAATACGTGAAGCCCATTTCTGGTGTCCCCCCGCCGTGATATTGCTGGAATATTGCTAAAAGCGGCGTAAAACTCACTCACATGAGGTAGTATGTACCCACCCCATCCCAAACCCCACCACACACACACTGTACTGAGGGTACAAGCGTTCCCCGACCCCCTCCACACGCGCACACACAAGGTCGTCACCCTTCTCAGAATGTCTAAATCAACATCCCTGAATCCTGAATATAACTTGGCATAGATTTCAGAAACACTGAGAAAAGGGATCGATGTGAAGTCAAATTTAAATGATAAAAAATTTCATATGAAGGAAATTCTTATGATCATAGCCTACATAATTTTAAAATTATACCTGAGTTTGACGTACCGTACACTTCCTAGTCCCGAATCCCGTACACGCAAAGTGGGGTTATCGTTATTTGTTTTTTCCTGTAAAATACTGAGAATGCTTCTGCTTCCTAGAACACATTTCCTTGTACCCTAAACAAAATGTACGGGTTTATTACAATAAATACGGCACATCATGAGATTACTGTTATCTCCTAACAGTACATAACCCAGTTGAAAGTGTCCTAAATATGTTTTGCCCACATTACGACAGACGCGAACTCTTCTAGAGGAACTTACCTTGTACGAAAATACATAACAAGGCCGTTAACAACGATATTTTCCACATGGTCGGGTAGATCCACTTCTTCATGGAGAATTGTTGTGTAATGTGATCATGTAAACGCGAAAGATGTTGATATGGATGACCTTTGACACACATACCGCCGTCGCTAGATGACAAGGCAGGTCAGACCTGCAACTTGACGTTATCTTGACGGTTGGGAACTTATACGACAATACGTTTGGGTTTGGGTTTATCTCAAATAGTATGTTTAGTATATGTATGAATGTATTTTGGGCCAGTGGCCTATTAATGAATAAAATGTCTGTCTGTCTGTCAGTATGTTTTGTTTGTGTGTGTTTGTTGTTAAACGACGCACTCAGCAATATTCCAGGCTATTGGGCGGCGGTCTGTAAATAGACTTTGGACAGATAATCTAATGATTGCAATCACGTGCATTGATCTAGGGAGTGGGTATATGATGACACGTGTCAACCAAGTCAGCCTGACCATCCAACGCCTTTAGTCGCCTCTTACGACAAGAATGGTTTGCTGAGGAACAATTCTAATCCAAGTCTAAAAACATTTTCAGCGCTGGAGGAGGATTGTTTCGCCTTGGTTATGGTCAGGTGTATATTTTAACCGGCTTAATCCTAAGGAGTCACATGTTCTTATTATAACGGTGTACTTGTAGGCCTTATCGCTCACTATATAAAAATACAGTGTAATGCATGCTCTCCAAATCAGAGTGTCACGCAATCAATACAAATGAGTACCATCTTGACAATTATACAGTCAAACAGACTCCGATTCATTCTAGCACCCATATCTCGTGCAGTTTACAAGACTAAGAAATCCCCAGCTTCGTGTCCTGGTCCCTCGCAAGGCTGCATGGGTGAACCGAGGGTGGAAATCAGTGTTTGCAATACATTAATTTGCCAGTTGGCCATTAGGGCCTGCTGCCGCCTGCAGGCATTAAAATCTACAGGCCCTGAATGAAATCTACAGGCCCATTTTGTTAAAGTGAAACTAATAAAAACAAAATAGACTACACTGCAGACAGTTTCACACTGTTTCTATAAAATCAATTAGCGAAACCTATGGCGCAGAGACAAGTTTTTATTTGTTAAAGACTGAAGCTGACATTCCTATGCGCAAAGCGCTGAAATACCAGGAAGTGAAACTGTAAGCTATCGTAAGCTATCGTAACATGATGGATCAAGAACGTTAATAAATAAAACTAATTATGTGAAAGATTCCAGTTGAAAAAAAAATGACAGATCATTTACTGAAGGCCACAAGTGCCTGCAGATATTTGAAACTGCCGGCCAGATACAATAATAATCAGCGCGGGGCCTCCGGGCGGGCGGTTATTTCGAACGCTAGTTGAAATGCATGCGGTTTACAGTGATTCTATTATTATAGGCATGAGATTATGGTCTTTATTACAATAAGGGATATACAATTAACATTATTAATGACAGGGGATTAAGGGGGCAGAAGATACAAATTGTGAGAGTTTTAATAAAATATTGAAGATATGAAGTGATTGGTAACGTTGTAAGGTGGGAGGTAAGGTAGAAAGTCAGTAACGTAGATAATGAATTTGAAAGTAGGTCGCTGGAGCTGGTGAGTGCAGGGTGAAGTGAGTCATAGCTTAGATAGAGGAAAAACTACTATACTATCAAGATGGAGCGACGTGGCCGGGGACCTGGCCAGGGGACCCACAACCACCAGTTCCTAGTACTCTACGAGCCATATATGGTTAGGAGAGAGAGACCCTGAGATTCCTGGAATCCACCTCACGGTCGTACAAATATGGCAGTGGGGGTACGAAATAGAGGTGGGGGAGAGAAATAGATAGTTAAATTATGGGTTATTGACCAATAGAAAAAAATGAAAAGGGTGTTGGCTGTGACGTAGGAACCCAGGTTTAAGCGGGAGCAAAGCTCAGAAACGGGAGTCTGGTGCGGGCCTGCTCTTGCTGTTGGTCACTAGGAACCGTTTGAGAAATTATCTTGAAGCACCAGCATTTTGGCTTAAGACTGAAGCTTTGCGGCTGAAGTCTTATAGAGTGACCATAGAGTAGGTTGGCCAGCAACACAGTGTCAATAAAAACTATTGAACGAAGATCATCGTCTTGTGTTTGCTGGATGAACTACGGTAAAGTTCCAAGGGCCCCCGGGTACTGACACTGTACCTCTCGCACATCCCATATCGTCAGGACCGAAGTACGGGGGTATACCGTAGTTCAGGTAACGACACACCATCCCAGGTACGGGATACCGACAGGTAAAATACCATCTACCTGACAGGTAAAGGTGCTAGTCGGAACGCCTTGGAAAGGTGCCTGGAGACGCGGGGTAAGTTCCCTGTAGCGAGTGGTTGAGAGGCTGAAAGTGCTGTGCAGCGGTTGCATGCACGGCAAATTGCGATTGCGATAAACAGAGCGACCTTTGGCTGCTTGATAATTTGAGAGGTTGAAAGTGCAGTACAGCGGTTGCATGCACAGCAATTCGCACTAAGCAGAGAGACGTTTGGCTGCTTAAAATATCGAGAGGTTGAAAGTGCATACAGCGGGTGTATGCACGGCAAAATTGCAATAAGCAGAGAGACGTTTGGCTGCTTAAAATATTGAGAGGCTAAAAGTGCAGTGTAGCGAGGGCACGCACGGCAATTTGTAGCTTGGCTACTTAAAATATTGAGAGGCTGAAAGTACAGTGCAGCAAGCAGAGAGACGTTTGGCTGCTTAATAATTGGAGAAGTTGAAAGTGCAGCCGATGCATACAAGGCCATTGGCAATAAGCAGAGCGACGTTTGGCTGCTTGATAATTTGAGAGGTTGAAAGTGCAGTGCAGCGGGTGCATGCACACGGCAATTTACAATAAGTAGAGTAAAGCTGGGCTGCTTATTTACGAAGCGAGGCGGAAAACGTGCAGCGGTTGCACGAGCAAAACATTGCACTAGTGAGGTTGAGTGCAAACGACGACTTTGAGACTGCCCGAGGAAGGGCTACGCCACCAACGCCAGCTGGTCGAGAGAGGGAGGGCTGCAGGTACAGAGGAAGACAGGAGGACAACACCAGATCGACGGAACCATAGGTGGGACGGTCCGTACGGAACAGTGAACCACCAGGGAAACAACGGGCTGAACTCTTATGTGACAGTGATCCGATAGGAAAGTGACAGACAGTGGTGTGTGACATTTTGACTAACTTATAGTGCACATTCCACGGGACCGAATCTGCTTTAGGTAAGCCAATTCTATTTTATTTATGATGAACACTTTGTAAAAGAGCGAGATCCTTGAGATAATCATGCCTGTAACACCCAGCAGTAGCGAGAATCCAATCTCTTTACGCCCTGTCAATCAGCAATGTTTAACCCCTGTAGCTACATCCTCCAGCTGGTCGGCATTATTTGCTTCCCCACTCCCAAGTAGTAAGACCGTCCCGTCTGACCAAGAGAGCCCTTCTACTAGGGTTGATACCACGCCAATCATGTCCGCCAGCGTTACAACCACAACATCCAGTAACCAGAGTACTAGTTGCCCCCCACTCCAAGTTGACTGGTCACCGTTCTCTTCCCCCATGACAGGCCCCCAATTATTACACACTGATATTTTCAGTACACCTGTCACTCATACAGCAGCAGTAGTTCAAGGCTGCCCGCCCCACGTATTATCAATCCAGTGTGGCCGCCAAATGGCACCAATGCACAGTCCATCCCGTCAGTGAACCCGGCTCATTCATTCACCAGAGCTGTCTCATTATCTGCAGTGCCAATGAGCCATTTTGATGGTAAGGACCCCCTCGCCGCAGAGGGTTGGTTAAAAAGATTTGAACGTTATTCTAAAGTACATGGCTATACAGATGAGGAAAAGAAAGAACTCTTCCCATTATATCTGTCCTCACAGGCGTCACACTGGTTTGACGGGACCTTGGCTAAGGATCAGTGTTCCTGGCCAACCTTAAAGAAAACCTTCTTGCAGCGCTATGCCCCAAATTCCATTGTTATGTTAAAAAGGGCTAATGACCTCATAGATAGGAAACAAAAACAGTCTGAACCATTCGCTGACTTTTTACAGGCGGTCAGAACGTCAAGCGGCCTTTAATCGTCCAGAAACAATGATGATTTCGTCAGGGGATCTCGTTCTTAGAAATGCATGCCAAGATGTAAAACGTTTTGTACTTTACTAGGTCCCCACACTACTCTGTCCGAGGTCATACAGAGTGCAGAAATTGCCGATGCTACTGGGTCCCCTGAGGACGAATCCAAAAGTAATGCAAGCCATTCATGTATTGAGCTTAACAGGTGGGATCGAACTAACAACTCATGCTAGGCAACCTACACAACCAGTAAACGTTGTTGATTTAAGTCAGTACTTACACACTCCGACACAGCAAAACACACACATGCTCCAGGAGCCACCAACTCCAAATCCGCAGCCAACCATGTACCATCCACAGTTCATGCCTACACACACATCGCAAATACCCTATCGCCCCCAGAACAACAACCACAACATGGGGAGACATCCAAATAGTCGTAATGTCCGTTTTGCCCAACAGGGAAACTATACCGATAGACCGGGGAATTCTTATGGCCCTCGAAATACAGTACAGGACAGACGCCCGTTCACGTGTAAGGGTTGTGGTATGCTTCACTCCCATCCCCGCGAATGTAGAGCCAGGCTGATTACTTGTTATCGGTGCCATCAACAAGGTCATATAGCTCGATGGTGTCAGAACCCCCAACCGTCCGCATGACTACAAATAGACGGGGGGGGGGGGCTCCCACAACCATGACCCTCAGTACTACAACCAGAAGGAAGTCCCATTAACAAACCATTCACAAAGAGATTTAGGCACTCCGCCATATCCAGGGGTAATCAGTCCGCCCAACCCCCCGGTCACGGTGTCGACAAGTGTAGATTGCCCACCGACCCCAGATTCTCCCCCCCTCTCCCCTCCCCCACCAACAGACCTATCACTCAGCCACCGAACCTCGGGGCAAACCATTCCGAAGACACTAAGCACCCCTCCTCTGCGAATGGAACCTAGCCAGAACTTCACTACTGCTAGCATTACTACAGCTGGGCCAGAGGTCAACCATGTTACTGAACCGCAGGATTCCCTCCCAAGATAGA